TGCCAATGCCCACTTGGCTCGCAAGAACTGACTGCGGCATTGTAAGTGATCAAGTTCGGTTTCATCTTGGATTCTCGCAATTGCCTGAGCAACGACAGCGCATGCTGCAATTGCCCACCTTTCCCGCATGAGTTAATTCCAGTATTGTAGCTAATTAGATCCAACTCCACCCTTGTGTCGGTCATGTCTCTGAAGAGTCGCAAAGCCTGCTGCCACTGGCCGAATCTGTCACACGCACCAATTCCTGAATTATAACTGATCGTGTTCGGCTCCACGCGCAATTTCCGCCGGCCCCATTTGGGGCCATCAGGCTGCGAAGATCGGCTTGCTGCTCGCTGCGCCAGTTGCAGTTTCCAGTCTCCAATATTACAATCCTGCTTTCTGCTTCCTGTTGTAAATTGGGAGAGGAGGGGGGTGAAGCTGAAGAGCGTCCAGTCACCATCCACGAATCGCGTTGCCTGAATTCCTGCGGGGCCGTGGGACACGTAAAAATACATGAGATTCGCGCTCCCGACGCAATAATCCTTGGTAAACTACACTGTGCTCGCGTCCCCGAGGCCACGATCCATCGCAAATCGCACCACGTTCGCGTCCCCGAAGCCACGATCCTTAAATACGCCATCTTCGCGCCCCCGAGGCCACGGCCTCCCTCCAATTATTATGCATTCGCGCCTCTGGGGCCACGATCCATTGTAAACTACGCCACAGCTGCGCCCCCGAGACCACGATCCTTTGTACATAATACAATATTCGCGTCCCCGAGGCCAGTAACCCTTGCAAATTAAACAATTTGCGCGTCCCCGAGGAAATACACCCTGGTACATTACACGATATTCGCGTCCCCGAAACCATTCACCCTCTCAAATTACAGAATTGCTGCGCCCCCGAAACAACAAACCCTCGTAAATTACTCAAGTGTTGCTGCCCCGAGGCGGCAAACTCTTGCAAATTAAACAAGGCTCGCGTCCCCGAAGCCAGAATCTGCAGTCAACTATACAATATTCTCGTCCCCGAGGCCACACCCACCTGCAAATTGCACAATAGTCGCGGCCCCGAAGCGATAATCACTTGTAAGGTATACCATATTCGCGGGCCCGAGGCCACAAGCCCTCGCGAATTGTTCAATTCTTGCGTCCCCGAAGCAACAAACCCACGTAAAGTATTCCAGATTAGCGTCCACATGGCCATGAACCCTCGCAGTTCACGCCATATTCGTATTGCCGAGGCCAAGAGTGCTCCAAGGCGCCCGAAGATGTTTTCAAGACGACCCAAGAAGGCCCCAAGAGCGCTCCAAGCGGCGTCCCGAGAGAGCCCCAAGAGGCTAATATCGTCGATTGTACACAAGGTCTTTGAAGGAGTTTGGGGTTCTCGCAAATTCGGCTTTCCGACGCTCCAAGATGGCTCAAGAAGCTCCCAAGACCGCCCCAAGACAGCCCAAGACGCCTCCAAGAGGGACCCAAGACGGCCCGAGAGGGCCCCAAGAGGCCCCAAGAGGCGCCCAAGACGCGCCAATTAAGCCATCAAGAGGCCCAAAAGATACCCCACGAGGCCCCAAGAGGTCCACAAGAGGCGCCGAAACCGCCTCCAAGAGGCCCCCGAGAAGCCCCCCACGACACCCCAATAATATACAAGAGGCCTCAGATCCACAACCCAGACACGGTGGCAGGATGGGTCGAAGGCCACTAGGATCCGCCGCCCCCTGTCGATTCATCGCAGGGGAGCCTGGCGTGCTGGACCCTTTCGGTTTTGGTTCTTTTTCCAAAAGAGCTCCCCCTGGCGCTTCGGCCCGTCCAGCTGGGGTCCTGGGAGGATTGCCCAGGAGCGCAAACTCCACGAACAATCCTCCCTGAAACGGCCGTTTCGCTCGGGACATCCTCAACAAATCGCGAAGATGGCCCAAGATGGCCTCCAAGTCCGCCCAAGATGGTCCAAGACGGCCTCCAACACGGCCCAAGAGAGTTCAAGACGGCCCAAGACGGCCCCCCAGAGGCCTCCCAGACGGCCCAGGAGGCCTCCAAGAGGTCCTCCAGGAGGGCCCGAACAGGCCAAAACAATTGCTTTCCCTTAGGTGTTTGAAGGATTTTGGAATTTGCTTCTTCTCGGCATTCCGACGGCTCAAGACGGCCCAAGAGGCCCCCAATATCGTCCAAGAGGCCCCCAAGAGGGCCCCATGACGGCCCAAGTGGCCTCCAAGATGGCCCCAAGAGGGCCCCAAGACGGCCCAAGAGGCCTCCAACACGCCCAAGATGGCCTCCAAGACGCCCAAGATGGCCTCCAAGACGGCCCCGAAGCGCCCCAAGAGGGGCCCCCGTTGGCCCAGAAAAGGCCCCCAAGAAGGCTCCCGACGGCGTCAGACGTGCCAGGAACCCACCAAGATGGCCGAAGTTGGCTCGAAGCTGGCCCAAGACGGCCCAAGAGGCCCCCAAGAGGGCCTCCAGGAAGGCTAGAAGAGGCCAAGAACATTGATGTTCCTTAGGTTTTTGAAGAAGGATTTTGACATTTGCTTCTTTTCGGCCATCCGAAGGCCCGATACGGCCCAAGAGCCCTCAAAGATCGCCCAAAGATCGCCCAAGAGGTCTCCAAGATGGCCCCAGAACAGCCAAAGAACCCCCCAAAGGTCTTTTGAGGTTTTTGACGGAGGCCTTTGCCATGAGGTTTTTGACGGATTTTGACATTTCCTTCTTTTCGACATTCCGACAGCCCGAGACAGCCAAAGACCCTCCAAAGATCGCCGAAAGATCGCCCAAGAGGCCTCCAAGACGGCCACGATGACCTTCAAGATGCCCATGTGATCCCCGAAGGCTTTCCAAACCGATTCGGGGAACACATGGTCCGATGGCTTGGCAGGTCTGACCTCAACGTTCGGCCACATAGGCGCTTCCAAAAAGGCAGGGGGCGGCGGTGGTTCGCCGTGGGCGCCTTCGATCCGCCGCCCCCTTTGGATTTATCAAAGGGGTGCCTGGCGTGTTAAATCCTATCGGTTTTGGTTTTGGTTCTTTTTCCAAAAAGAACTCCCCCTGGGGCTCCGGCCCGTCCCGCCGGCCACCCGGAAGACCCGGTTGCAAACGGCCCCAGACGGCCCTAAGATGGCCTCCAAGACGGCCAAGATGGCCTCCAAGACGGCCAAGATGGCCCCAAGTTGCTTGCAAGACGGTCCAAGATGTACCCAAGACGGCCTAAGATAGCCTGAAGATCGCCCAAGACGGCCCAAGAGGCCTCCAAGAGGCCTCCAAGACGGCCTAAGAGACCTCCAAGAGGTCCTCCAGGAAGGCCCGAAGAGGCGAAAATCATTGATTTACCTTAGGTTTTTGAAGGCTTTTGGTCTTTGTGCCTTTTCGGCTTTCCGACGGCTCCAGACGGCCCAAGAGGCTCCCGAGATCGCCCCAAGAAGGATGTTGGTATTTGCGCATTTTCGGCTTTCCGTCGGCCCAAGACGGCCCAAGAGGCCCCCAAGGTCGCCCCAAGATCGCCCAGGAGGCCTCCAAGATGGCCCCATGACGGCCCAAGAAGCCCCCAAGAAGGCCCCAAGGGGGCCCCAAGACGGCCCCAAGAGGGCCCCAAGACGGGCCAAGGGGCCTCCAAGACGCCCAATGACCTCTAAGGCGGCCCCGAAGCGCCCCAAGAGGGCCCCAAGTCCCCCAAGATCGCCCCCACAGCGCCCAAGAGGCCTCCAAAATGGCCTCAGGACTGCCCAAGAGGCCCCCAAGACGGCCCCAAGAGGGCACAAAGACGACCCAAGAGGCCTCCAAGACGCTCAAGATGGCCTACGGCCCTGGCGCATCCCAAGAGGGCCCCGAGTCGGCCCAGAGAGGCCCCCAAACGGCTTCCGACGGCGTCAGACGGGCCAGGGGCCCACCAAGATGGCCGAAGTTGGCTCGAAGGTGGCCAACGACGGCCCAAGAGTCCCCTAAGAGGGCCTCCAGGAAGGCCAGAAGAGGCCAAAAACATTGATGTTCCTTAGGTTTTTGAAGGATTTTGACATTTGCTTCTTTTCGGCCATCCGAAGGCCCGATACGGCCCAAGAGCCCTCAAAGATCGCCCAAAGATCGCCCAAGAGGCCTCCAAGATGACCCCAGAACGGCCCAAGAAGCCCCCAAGACGGCCCGGGAGGCTTTTATCGGCGGTGGACAAACCTCCCTGTAGTAAACCTCACCTTAATGAAAACGGCCTGGGACCGAAACCGACGGACCTGGACCCGCAAAAATGACGGCCGCGACGCCCTCTCGCAAACCGAAAACGGCCAATTCCTTAATCGACGTGTCAGGGTAGGAGGTCTATCCACCTCCGATATTAAGACCAAGATGGCCTCCAAGATGGTCCTGAGCATTCCAAGAGGCCCCAAGTCGGCCCAGAGGGAACCCCCAAACGGCTTCCGACGGCGTCGGACGACGGGCCAGGAGCCCACGAAAACAGCCGAAGACGGCACTAAGATGGCCCAAGACGGCCCAAGAGGCTTCCAAGAGGGCCTCCAGGAAGGGCCGAAAAGGCCCAAATCATTGATTTCCCATGAGTTTTGAAGGATTGTAATGAGTGTGGCATTTGCTTTTTTCGGCCATCCGACGACCCGAGACTGCCCAAATGCCCCCAAAGATCGCCCAAGCGGCCCAAGACGGCCCCAAGAGGCCCCCAAGACGGCCCAAGAGGCCTCCAAGACGCTCAAGATGGCCTCCAAGACGGCCCAAGGGTCAAAATGGCCTCCAGATGGCCAAGATGACCTTCAAGATGCCCACGTGTTCCCCGAAGGCTTTCCAAACCGATTCGGGGAACACATGTTCCGATAGCTTGGCAGGTCTGGCCTCAACATTCGGCCACATAGGCGCTTCCAAAAAGGCAGGGGGCGGCGGTGATTCGCCGTAGGCGTCTTCGATAACGCCAACGTCTGAATATACACTGATGAGTCCTATCCGCCCCCGCACGATGCTCCCAAATGCGCCAAGGCAGCGCCGAGACGCACCGACGCGACTCTGATATATTCCATTATGATAGAGAGGGGGCTGGCCTCAGGGGGCGAAGCCCTTACGGATTATCATTTCAAAGAGCAGCGACAGAGCATGCTGCCACTGTCCACCCTTCTCGCATGCACTCACTGCAGCACTGTGGCTGACGACGTTTCCCTCTACTCTCACATCGCTCATCTCGCTGAGTAATGCAAGTGCCTGTTGCCACTGCCTACTCTTTTCGCAAGCGCTTATACCAGCACTATAAGTGACGGCATCCAATTCCATATTCGCTGTCCGTACCTCCCTGAGCAACAACAGCGCCTGCTGCCACTGCCCACCTTTCTCACACGCGCTGATCGCAGCGTTGTAACTAATCACGTCTGTCTCCATCTTCGCTGCCCCAAGCTCGCAGAGCAACATCATCGCCTGCTGCCACCGCCCACCTTTCTCACACGCGCTGATTCCGACGCTGTAGCTGATGAGGTCTCGTTCTAACGCCTGTTGCCATAACTTGCTCAACAATAGCAGCGCATGCTGCCACTGCCCGCCCTTATCGCAAGCGCTGATCGTAGTACTGTAGCTGATGATGGTTGGCTCCAACATCGCTTGCCACAAATCCGTCGATCCTGTCGGCGTGTGCGAGTGGCTGTTTCGGTTGACTGGTCGTTGTCGTCGTCGTCGCCGTCGTCGTCGCCGTCGCCGCTCCCCCCTTTTCCCTGGGCTCTCCTTCTGAAGCGCGCCAGCCAAGGCGGAACAGCCTGAGCGAAACTGAGCAATGTCGTAATCCCACCAGCCCTCTGGGCGTAGGTGGTTTAGAGAGTTTCTTCTTCCAACCTCCTTCGTCTCCTTCGGGGAGGGGTTTACCCCTCCCCCTACCCCCTCCCCTGAACCTGGACGGGGGGGTTCGCGACGCGTTGGAGCGTCCAAAACGGCCTCGGCGAGGAAGCCAAAATCATTTGTTTTACTAGGGTTTTGGCCCCATTTTGGCCTCCTGAGGGGGGGGGGCTAATTTAGCCCCCCCCTCCTGTGATCGATCTCCTCCAAGATGGCCCCAAGAGGCGCCCAGGAGGCCCCTAGAGGCATGTGGCCTCAAGAAGCCCCCAAGAGGCCCCCAGGATGCCCCCAAGAGGCTCCCAGGGAACCCCCAAGAGGCCCCAAGAGGCCATCCAGAGGCACCAAAACGCTCCAAGAGGCCTCGGCGAGAATGCCAAAATCACATTTTGGCCACATTTTGGCCTCCTGGGGGGGGCATCGCTTCAGATGACTCCGAGAGCGCCTGGGAGAGCCCAAGATGCCCTCCAAGATGGCTCAAGATATCCCAAGATGCCTCAAGATGGCTCCCAAGATGTTCCAAGAGGCCCCAAGACCGCTCCAAGGCGGCTCCAAGTGGCCAAAGAGCTCCCCCAGGAGGCCCCGAAGAGGTCAAAATCCTTCCAAAACCTTAGGGAAATCAATGTTTTTTGCTTTCTCGCCTTTTCGCTTCCGATGGCCATCCGAGGCTTCAAGATAGCTCCAAGGAGGCCCAAGACGGCTCCAAGAGCGCTCCAAAGGATCCCAAGAGCGCTTCAAGAGGGTCCCAAGAGGCGCCCAGGAGGCCCCAGGAGGCCTCAACAGGCGCCCAAGAGGCCTCAAATAGGCTCCCAAGAGACCCCCACGAGGCCCCAAGCAACTCTCCGAGGCACCCAAGACGCTCTAAGAGGCGTCCGGGACCGCCAAGAGGCCCCCAAGACGCTCCAAGAGGCCTCCACTGGGGGACCCTGCCCACTTCCCTGATCGAGGCAATTCCTCTGGGCATCGTTTCTGGATGGGCTGGTGGGGTTACGCGAAGCGTCTAGAATAGAGTCGAAAAGAAAACCATTCCCTTTAACCTCTTTCCCGCCGGGGAGGGGGCGAGTCCTGGAGAGGGGAGGGGGGGGGAGGGGGGGGGTCTCGGATAAGAATACAACTACCACCCAGGGGGGTCCCGGGGCCCAAGAGGCCCCCCAAAGGCCCTCACGAAGCACCCAGGCGTCCCTAGGAAACCGCCGGGAAGCCCCAGGAGGATCCCAAAAGGCTCCCAAGACATCCCCAAAACGTGGGGGTTCTTGGGCACATCTTGGGGGCCTCGTGTAGCCTCTTGGGCACTCTTGGGAGCGTCTGATCCCGACCTTCCTGAATGCCTCTTCCATCATGGGGAGCCGTCCATGGTCGGCGGCACCTGCCGTAAGGCCTTAGCAATCATCTAGCAAAGACAACGCCCGCTGCCACTGACCACCTCTTTCGCACGCGCTGATTCCAGAATTGTAGGTGACTAGAGCCGTAACGTGGACTCATGCGCGCGAGTGCAGAAACAGTTGCTTTCGATTCGGCCTTCTCGTGACCTGACCAAATTATACAGTACATCCTGCCGAAAGCTTTCAGGACAAGTACCCACGTCGTACCAAGTCTTCAGTCAAACAACGGGGTAAAACAATTTAGGTGACTCCCCTGTTCCCTCGGAAGCAAGGTCCATCCGGTGCGGGTCACGGGAGGAGAGAAGGCGGATGTGGAATGATGGAGGAGGCAGGAGGGAGGAGGCAGAGAGGAGGAGACAACAGTCAGTGAAGAGGGAAACGGATGGTGGAGGGATGAGGGATGAAAGAAAGGATATGTCCTGCCTTCTCTCCAATTACTCCATTCCCCCAACTGTCCTCCATTCTCCATCCCATGTTTCTCATCCACCTCATTATTATGATCCATCTTCTCTCTTCATCTTCCTTGATACAGGCTCCGACCATCTGATCCCGAGCTCCTTGAACACAATATGTCTATGGACACACACAGAGATGGCATCGGGCGATAGCTTCACCCCTTCCATGCTGCCAAGCAGTGCCAACGCGTGCTGCCATTGCCATCCTTTCGAGCACGCGCTTACCCCAGCACTGTAGCTGATGGTAGTTGGCTCGAGAGACGCTTCGATGAACTCGCTGAACAGCATCCACAGAGCCTTCTGCCACTGCCCAGCTCTGTCGCAGGCACTCATGCCTGAATTGTAACTGACAGCGTCTGGCTCTATCTTCGTGTCATTCATCTCGTTGAGAAGCCACAGCGCCCTCTGCCACTGTCCACCTTTGTCGCATGCGCTGATCCCCGCATTGTAACACACTAAACTCGGTTCTGGCCCCACTTGTCGCAGTTCGCCGAGTAACGACAACGCCTGCTGCCACTGCCTGCCTCTGCCGCACGCGCTTATGACCACGGCGTAGAGAACTGGAGTGCGTGGCTGCGACGCATCAAATAATACTCTGAGCGCCTTCTGCCAGTGCGCTGCACGTCCAAAACCCTTGATATCAACTGTCAGCGAAGCAACACTTGATTGAACATCCTGCCGCCTCGACGTCTCGGATATCTGCACCGTAGCTGCTTTTGAAATCCGCAGCTGACCCAACAACCGCCAAGATCGGAGCGGGTGGTCTAAAGAGTCTAAACGGAATAATAGTCTCGACAAGCTTGAGCTGAAATATTCTTCGCCACTCCGTGGCAGCCATACGTCGACAAGCACTCGCCTGCCATCGTGACGCAGAATATTGGCCCACGTGAGCCGCCTGCGTACTCTGTGGTGGCTCACGCCTCCTACTCCCCCTTCTCCTCGGCATCGTTATCCGTCTTTCCAAGCATCAGCATTCTCCCTCGTGCCTCCCTCCGCCCCTTCTCTCTACAAATGCATCCTCCAGATCGCACCACCAGACGCGTCGGTAGGGCTGGGGCCGTGCGATTCGCTTGAGGTGTCGTTCCCAGTTGTGATGCGAACGTATTGCGAAGGCCTTCCGGCCGGTGCCGCCGACCTTGAAAACGGCGACGACGAGGACGACGAGGTCTTGGGGTCCGCTTGGGAGGCTCGTGCTAGCCTCTTGAGGCAACCAGGGGTCTTTCGGAAGCTTCTTGGGGCTTCTTGGGTTGCTTCTGAGGGGCCTCTGGGGGCTTCCCGAGAGCATCTGAGGCCGAGGGCTCGAAATGTTCGTTCGGGTCCCCCGTCTGGGCTCCTCCTTGGAGCCATCTTGGGGGCCTCTTCGGTTATCTTGGAGGCCTCTTGGTCGGTCTTGGAGCCCTCGTGGGTCGTTTTGGAACTCTCTTGGAGGCCTCTTGGGCCATCTTGGGGCGGTCTTGGGGGCTTCTTGGCCAGTCTTGGATCGTCGGGAAGGTGACAAGGTAACAACGCCGAAATCTTTGTAAAACGTACGGAAAATCTATGATTTGTGCCCATGGAGGCCGTTTTGGGAATCCTTTTGGAGGCTTTTTGGGGCGTTGTGGAAACCTTTTGTGCCGTTTGGACGTTACTTTGGCGACTTGTACCGACACGTCATCGATGTGGAATCCTCGAAGATCGTCTTGGGGACATCCTGGAGCACTTTTGCCGCGTCCTGCGGCTTTTCTTGGCCGCCAAACCGCCCGAGAGGGAGTCGTATCTGCCCCGGGACCCCCCCCTCGGGACCCCCCCCGGGACCCCACCACCAGGACCCCCCCACCCCCCCGGCGGGGAAGGGATCAAAGGGAAGGGGCTTCCCCTCGATTCAACTACAAGGTTGCTGGGGCTCGACAGCCTTTTCCACACGCCGACAGGCCGTGCGATTCACTTGAGGTGTCGTTCCCACTTGTGGTGCGAACGTATTTTCAACAATGCTGAGCAGATCCCAAAGACACATGAATGAAAGGCAACACGTGTTCAGGATGCACATATCGTTCGATGTGACTCGCAACTTGTAGCCTGTATCATGCTATACAGCAGTATGCATGAAGAGAGGAAAAGTTCAAAATTCAAAATACGGTTTGGCATTCCCTCGCGGCTAATGGTCCACGTGCCCTCAAGTTTTCCGAACAATCACACGGATAGGCGACGGTTGATTTCAGACTCGCGCTGTCGCGCGACAACTCGTCGCAACGATTCCACTAAAATTTCTTGGTTTCTCCATCACCAGTTACACAACAGGAGGTCGGCACGCCACAATCGAGAAGCCCTTCATGATCACGTCGTCCCCCATGCCTCCGAAGACTACATGCGCGTCAGGCGAACGCAGTCCAACATATTATCATTACTCGGGCGCACCACACCCTGCTGTAATCCATCTGCGCGCACTGCCAAGATGGAGCGTGTTCTCTTCTCAAACATATGGTTTTTTGGGTGCGCATGGTATCCGCTGGCCCCCTTTGCGGAGCCATCAGGCTAGGCTGAGTTTTCAATGCCCTGCACCAGTTGCAGCTTCCAGTCTCCAGTGTTACAATCCTGGCTTCTGCTTCCTACTGCGAATTGTTCAAGTCCGCGCGAGGGGGGGGGGGCCGAAAAGCGTCTGGCTACCACCCCAGATCCGCGCTCCCGACGCAATCATCCTTGGTAAACTACGCTGTGCTCGCGTCCCCGAAGCCACGATCCTTTGCAAATTGCATCACGTTCGCGTCACCGAAGCCACAATCCTTGACGAAATGCACCATACACCGGTGTGATAATCACCCCGTCCAGTGAAGAATAGGCCCAGAAATCAGTCCATTTTGAACCCGCTCACACCTCAATCACTCCGCATGGGCGACTTGAGATTGTCAGTGTCATCTTCGTCCTCGTCGCTGTCATGCCGATGTTAACGCAATGCTCCTTTGTATTCGTTTTCGTTTTGACGCGGCGTGGCCCTGGAAATCCTTATCCAACGCTGTCGCTCTTGATTCGCTGGCCGGCCATCCCAGAGAGCTCACGAAAGCTCGCAAATCCGCATCAGGGCACTTTGGCATCCTAGTCAGTCGTCCGCGGCACGCGGAACCAGCTATGCAAATCTCCGCCGATGGTCGAAAACTCTGGTATTTGGCAGGTATTCGCGCCCCCGATGCAACGATCTCATATGAATTACGCTACGTTCGCGCCTTTGGGGCCACGATCCCAAGTAGATTGCAACACAATTGCGCCCCCGACGCCAAGATCCCTCGTAAATTACACAAGGTTCGCGTTCCCGCGGCCAGTAACCCTCACAAAATACTAAATTCCTGCGCCCCCGAAGCAACAAAACCCGAATGAATTACTCAACACTCGCGTCGCCGACGCCGTTAATCCTTGCAATGTATGCAATTATTGCGCCCCCGAGGCAACAAACCCTTGTAAATTACTCAAGGCTTGCGTCCCCGAGGCGAGAGAGAGAGAGAGAGAACGGTTTCACGGGCGCTTGCCTTGGAAACATTAGGCGGCGCGTTTCCAACTGGGGAAGGGCCCCCCCCCAACACTCGGCGCCGTCGGTCAGGACCACGGGGACTCCCCTCCCGCCTGACCCCCCCGCCCCCTCCCGAACCCCCCCCCCTCCCAAAGGGGGGGGGGGAAGCAGCGCCGACGGCGGGGACGCAGCGACGATGACCAGAGGCAGCCCAGGGGGGGAGGTGGGGGTCCAAACCCCCCGCCCCCCGCGCCGGCACCGGCGCTGGCGGCGGCCAGCAGCGCCGACGGCGGGGACGCAGCGACGATTACCAGAGAGGGCCCAGAGGCCGCAGAGGGAACACACAAATCGCCACATCGAGCCCTCGCCCCCCAGAAGCCACCGAGAGGCCCTCAGAAGGTCAACGAGGCTTCACACATGCTCCTCAGACGCCCCCGAGACCCTTCTGACGAGACCTCAATAGGCGCCCATTAGAACTCTGACCTAAAGCCAACGCACGATGGCGGGAAGAGCCGAAGGCCACACCACCACCACCACCACAAACCGCAACATCACCACCACCACCACCACAACCAACACCACCACCACCACAACAACAACTCACCACAACCGACCACCACCACAACCACCACCATCACCACAAACCACTACACAACCACAACCAAAAACGCCACCACCACCACAACTCACCACAATCACCACCACCACCACCAAGAACCAACACACCATTACCAGCACCATCACCACAACCGCCACCATCACAACCATCACCACAACCCACCACCACCACAAACCACCACACCACCACCACCACAACCATCACAACTACCACCACCACCACACAACACCCACTACCCACCACCACCCACTACCACCAGCACCGCTACCAGCAGCAGCACCACCACCACAAAAAACCACGCCACCACCACCACCACCGCCATCACCGATACCACCACCACCACCACCTCAACCCACCATCACCACCACCACCAAACCACCGCACAACCTCCACCACCACCACCACCACCACCACCACCACCACAACAACAACAACAACAACAACAACAACACCAACAACAACAACAACAATAACAACAATAACAACAATAACTCACCACCACCACCACAATCTACCACACCACCACGCCACCACCGCCACAACCACCACCACCACCACAACCCACCACACCACCACCACCACCACAAACCACCACACCACCACCACCGCCGTCGCCACCACCACCACCACCACCACCACCTCCACAAACAACTGCCACCACCACCGCCACCAACACCACCACAAACCACCACACCACCGCCACCACCACCACCGCCACCACCACCGCCACCATAACGACCTAACACCACCACAAACCACCACCACACCACCACCGAACCACAACCACCACCACCAACCACCACCACAACTACTACCACCAAAACAAACCACACCACCACCACAACCACAACCACCGCCACCATCACAACCCACCACCACCACCACAAACCGCCACAAACGACCACACCGCCACCACCACGACCACCACCACCGCCACCAGCACAGCCCACCACTACCACAACCACCACCACCACAACAAACCAACACCATAACCACCACAACCACCACCACCGCCACCACCACCACCGCAGCCACAACCCACCGCCACCATCACCACAACCACTACCACCACCACAACTGCCACGACAAACCACCACACCACCACCGCCACCGCTACCACCACTTTAACCCACCACCACCACAACTACCATCGCCACCACCACCAGAAAACACCGCACCACCACCACCACCGCCACCGCCACCACCACAACCTGCCACCACAACCACCACAACTACCACAGGCTCTGACCAAAAACCAACGCACGGTCGCGGAGCTTCGTCATC